CCTTTCGTTTGAACCAAACCTAAAATCCGTCTTCGGTCGGATATGAAAATATCTATAGACAATAAATACATATATAACAGTTTGCCTTGAAATCTCCGTTCACTGACAGAAATTCATGGCTACTTGCGAAATAATCTCCATCAAAACATCATTCTCTTCAATTATATAAAAAATTATTTTTGACATACCTACGTGTATGACTGTCTCGTCCCTCTCAATCAAATTTTATCTATTGCCATACTCATTATATCACTTTTATCTGTCCCCTAGACCAAGATGTTAATGAAGACAAGCGCATCGTTGTCAATAATCCTTGTCGACAGATTGTGGGTGTCCATGTTGGCCGAGAAAGTAGTTCATCCAGTGGATAAGAACGGATACCAGCCATTGTAACGCAAATAGAATTCGTGGGGTAGCTTTTAGTTTCTCTTAAAAATTTTATATTCTCATATAATTTAAGTGTTTTTTATATATGTTTTCCATTATTCATCTCTTAAATTTTATATATTCATTAAATTCTAAAATTTTATAAATCCATCCCCTAACCTATAATATTACATCCGTTCATGGATCACATGCTTTTTAATTATCAGTTATTCAGCACAACTGGGCCGGGTCTGGATGCAAAGGAGAGGGAAAATGGAAAATGAAGTCAACTGTGTTTTAAAGTGGCTTTATCCAAAATTAGAAGCATGGTTTTCAGAACCGGATCGATTAACGAATCGGTCATGTTACCGGTTCATTGGTTCAACCGGTCGAATCGGTCTGATCGGTCGGAAGAACTGGACGACGTTATAATTATTTAAAAAATTAAATAAAAATATCAAAAATATTTAATAAAAAATAATTTTTTATATCACAAGTCATATTAAAAGCAAGTCATAACATATATAAATTAAAAACCATAAAATCAAGTGAAACAAAATGATTCAAATTAACTACAACATAATATTTAAGGTAAAACATATTAAATAATAAATATAATTATATAACTATAATTAAAAAATAAATTTGGGGCTAAAAAAATCATAACAAAATGATATTGTTTGGTTTGATTTTTTTTTTAAAAAATAATCCCACATGGCTAAGAAACATAGAAGAGCATCACAACTAACTTCTATAAATAATAGAGGTAATTTGACATTAAAAATCATGGAACCTTTTGGTGAGCATTGAGTGAACTATTCTTTCACTTCAATCAAGCTCAAATTTTAGGCTTCAATTGAGCTTCTAATTTTTTTTTAGTTCAAGCCTTTTTGAGTTCAAGTTTCAATATTATATTTCGAGTTCGAGTTGAATTTGATAATTTTTAACTTGTGAGTTTGAGTGGAGTTGAGCTTACTTTTAAAGTTTTCAAGTTCGAGTCGAGCTCAACAATACTCGAGTTCGATTTGGCTCGTTTAACAAACGATGTTTGATTTAATTTAAAAAAAAAAATCGATTTTTTTCGGTTTTCAGCCGGTCCGGTTCGAACGGTTCAGCGGTTCTGATCGGTTCACTAGTAGCGGTTCAACCGATTTAGATTGAACCGGACTAGACAACGATTTCCGATTGAACTGGTCGATCTGATCCGATTTTCAAAACAATGATCAGTGTAGATATTTAACGACACTTAAGAAAGCTCCGTATAACCAAAATATGGATAAATTTACACACATCTTCGTATAAAATTATTTGAACCCAAGTCAATATAATAGTTATTGTCTTATCTTAATTCATCTAAAATGTATTCTTATTATTCATATCATGCATTTCTTATCTTTGAAAAGTTCATAAATAAATAAAAAATTTATTCCATAAAGGAAGAAGACATTAGCCTCATTCTCTAAATTATCTTCAAGTAATTAATATAAGCAACAAAATAAAATATCTAAATTATCTTCCTTTTACGTTGAAAGGCCCACAGATGCCCTAACCTCAGCTAGGCCTTAAGTTGTAACCCAAAAGACTTTATATTCTCGTTTCTTCGCAATCCAATCCTTAAAACTGCGTCGTTTCTGATCCCCTGGAGTTGTGTATGCTTCATCGCCTCCGACCCACAGCAGAATTGAAAAGAAAAGCAAGAGGATGAGCTCCGACAACCCGAACCAAACCGGTCTCGTGATAACGGTGACCGAATCCATTCGAGCGTTTCTCCTCTCCGTCTCCGACGACCCGCGTCTCTCTCAAGAGCTTAGAGAACTCGCTCTCGCTCTTTTCTCGGCAACCGATGCATCGTACAAGCAGATTCGAAGCTTATGGATCCAGTCAGATGTTGAGGCTATGCCCGGATAGATTTCTCTTTTCTATGGATCTAATTTCGTTTTCTCCAGCCCTAAACCCAGAGAGAAGGTAAAGTTGAACATGACTTGGATTCTAGCGTTCTAGATCTTTCATGGCCGCGTTTTCGTTTTAACCGAGATGTTTTTTCCCCCTTTTCTTTTTGAAATTTGAATTTGTAGAGTGAAGAATTGAAGGAGAGGTTAAGGAAACTTAAAGAACAAGCAGAGAGGAGAGAGTATCAAGAGCTTGTTAAAGTTATTGGGACCAGCACAGATTGTGAAACCCGGAGTGATGCAGGAGAGGAGACGAAAACGTTCTTGGAGAGCAGCCGATCTCCATGGTGACAAACACAAGTGAATCAAATGCATTTTGTATAATTTTGAATTTTTACTTCTTATCATTAAATACTTGTAGTATTATGTGAAAATATTATGAACTAAACGAAAATAAAAACCATGAACAATATTAGAAAAATTTGAGAAAAATAGTTTCTATGCATAAAATTAATAAATTTAATTTTTATGAATGATCTTATAATTAAACGACCTTTATTTATCTATATTTGTGGAGCAGTAGGTGTTAGGGATGAGTAAAACTTGAGTAGTTGTTAGGGATAAGTAAAACTTGGTTAGATTTGACAAAAAATATTTCTTCTAAACTGATTCAGCGTTTAAAGTTTAATTGTAATTTATTAAATCCAATTCGACTAAATTTTTTAAATAAAAATTGATTCATAAAATAATACAAATTGATTTTTAAGTTTTGGTTGAGTCTTTAACTTTGTAAGATATATTTATATTATATATGTATTACATTGATTATGTTTTTCTTCAATCAAACATTGAAATATGAGGAAAATATATTCGAAAAATCAGTTATAGGATAACATATAGACCCTAAATTAGAATTAATTAATATCTTAATATTATAAGTATTTATAATTAAAATCTAAACTGAAACTGATACGATTCAATTTAACGATTTTTAAGGGGCGAAAATATAAATGATGCTTTGTCTGAAAGGAATAAAAAGGTGTCTAAAAACTTCGATTTAATCTAACATTTTCATGATACTAAAATTTCATAAATTATTAAAGAACTTATGAATTTGTATGGACTCATGTTTATCGAATGGGTAAACTACATGTTTGGTAATTCAATTTACTCACTGAATTTTATAGATTGAATTTTTTTGGTCATTCCACCGTTAAATAACTAAATATGTTATGAATTATGATATGTACATATTTTAATCAAAACGACATCATTTTAGTTTAAATTTTAAAATTTCATAGGAATTCAAACGATGTCGTTTTGATGCAAGTCGCTATGTCATAACGTTGTTTAATTATTTAACGGCGGATTGACAAAAAAATCAATATATAAAATTCAGTAAAAATATTAAAAAAATTAAAAGTACAATGAGTGAAATAGGAAAGAGAATAAAATTCAATAAACCAACGTGTAATTCACCCTTATCAAATTCAAGGCGAATGAATTTCTCAAATTTATTGTGATTTGTTTCTCCCAAAAACTATTATCAATTGTTTTTAAGTTTGAGTTTATTTTTTTTAATTGTTTAGAATGATTATAAGGTAGTGTCATTTTCAAAACACAGCATGGTAACACAGATAAAACCAAATCCATTTGCTCCCTTTGCCCATAACTTGCAATCCTTCCAATCTCTTGGAAGTATGTGTTTATTTTAAATATTATTGACTTCTTTTAGTTTGAATACGCCAACTAAATGCGATTATAAGATTTTTAATGAAATTTATATACCATCGTATAATTTGAATCAAGTTTAATAAATTTTTACAACTTTACATGGTAAATTCATATCTTTCCTTTTACAAATATGGTGTACTACTTAGCTGTTCCTCGAGAGTGGTATATTAATTTACTTTAGTTTTTATGCAACACCATAGTCATTTGTAAGCCTTTATATCCTTAATTCAAAAACTATTATATTTCAAAATAAGCCGATTAATGCATTTCAAAATACGTTAGAAAGTTAAGAAACATTCAATTTATGAAAGAAGACATATTAACAAATAAATACTCGAAACTCAATAGATATAAAATAATCTCTAATTGGACTTGGTAAATTCGTTCAACACTTCACCTTATAGAATAGAATCTGACCAAAACTTTTTACATGAATTAAAGGTTTTTTTTTATCGTTATTAGATTAATTTTTCCATGCGTTCTCTGCATTATATTGGATGTATCTCGAGCTCCTAATATCAAATTAATCTGATTCAAAATGGATTGAAAAAACTAAAAAATATTTGATCTCATGGAAAAAAAAAGACATTGAAATAATCAGATCCCAGCGGATCACATATAATAATTATTAAAAACATAATTTTTTATATTTTCTTTTTCGAAATCGTATAAAATAATTATAAATAAATATGTATTTTTAAAGTTGATATTGAATATAGGATATCCGTACGATTTGGTGCGGGTCTAAACCCGAACTTTATCAAGTACGTGTCAGCACGACCTTTCTCAATCACCCAGTTCACGTGACCCAAGAGAAAAGGAAGGATATCATCGAAAAGTAAAATAGCGTTCCAAAGCCGACGCCATGCTAACGCTCCCACTGACACTTGTCACCATCACATTCTCTTTAAGTCAACTACTGTCTCCCCATCCAACGGCTCCTACAAATCTATATTAACGCCAACTTACCCTTCCCAAAAACACACTTCAAGCAACTCACAGAATCAGAGTTCTAGTTATGAAAGCTGCTATCTTGAGAGCGGGTTCGGTTCTCTCGTCGGCTCTTTCCGGTTCACCCAGAGTGTCTCTTTCCCGTCAAGGTTCGTTAGGTGGAGTTTTCTCCGGTGGCTCTCCGATAGTATCGTTGCATTTCCCTATGGATAAAAGGAAGCCGAAGGAAACTCGAACGCAATTAAGACGAGCTTTCTCCGATACGGATGTCATCAGATCGGAGCCTCGAGTTCCCGGTGGGTCTCGGTGTTTTACGGAGGGGATACCGGGGGAGGAGTACGTTCCGATTGTGAAGTGGACAGCGAGTTCCGAACTGAATTCGGGATCTCGCTGGAAGAAATCGGATTCTCCGGTGAAGGATTCGGAACTGGCGGGAAATTCGGCGGTGATCACGGCGATGATTCGTACGAGGATAAGAGGCAGATTGGAGATCATTACCGTGAAATGCTGAAACTGAATCCCGGTGATTCGCTTCTCTTGAGAAACTACGGCAAGTTCTTACACGAGGTCAAACTCTGACTTCAACAAATCTGTAACACCCCCAACTCGTATCCGACCCGGATATGAGTCCGAAGTGTCACATTGACTTTTTAAACCTTGACTCTTAAGAAAAATCCCGGGAAATTTAAAACTTTATTTAAAACAAAATACAGACTTTATCAGAGTGCTCGTACTTAATGACTTATTACATGCCAACACTTTATACATAACCAAAAACATACTTTGTCAAATATTTCTGATATGATCTTTTGGTAAGGAAAACTGACATGTCTTGCCCCGCATCACTCCTTACTCTTCTCGAAACCTATGTGTGAAACAATCACACGCTAAGTCGAAGACTTAGTGAGGCATAACAACTTATAATGCACTTTAAAACCTATATTGATACATGCATGTTCTATTCTATCATGTTACAGCAATTTCATGCATTTTTCATATCGTATAAAATCATATCAGATTAATTGCAGTAAATACATGCATACACATACTTCATCATTAACAATTTATCATATAATCACATACTATTTCAATCAAACACTATGCACACGCAACATCATATCATTTCTATAGCATTTATCATACCACTAACTTATATTTGTTCATATCTCTGGATTAGCCCATGTACATATGTGAGAACTATCGATATGTGAGTCTATAGAGGTTGTGCACTATGCTGTCACCACAGCTCGTATAAATGCACCGAAGTGCCCCGTAGAATTGCACCGAAGTGCCCCGTAGAATTGCACCGTAGTGCCATATAATGATGTCCATAAGGACCACATAGAATTCTTTAAGAATCATATACATATGCTAGGGATCAAGTATGTGTCTTTCCAGACTTCACACAGGTTCCAAAGAATATACATATGTCCCTAAGAACCGCGTAGAATTGCACCGTAGTGCCATATAATAATGTCCATAAGGACCACATAGAATTCTGTAAGAATCATATACATATGCTAGGGATCAAGTATGTGTCTTTCCAGACTTCACACAGGTTCCAAAGAATATACATATGTCCCTAAGAACCGCGTAGACCCTCGACTCTTGGCATGCCAACTATACCCCTAGCTCTCATGACACATAACATGGGCGTTATCATTTATTTCATTTCAAATATTCACATAAACTTGTAATTCACTTTCACATATCACTTATCACATAGCTTCTTTTCATATGATCACATAGTCCCGTAGTTCACTTACACGTAGATCATTTCCATATAATTCACATGTCACATATGTCATGTTTTCATATAATTTTTATCATTTCTCACCCAATCACCTTTATTCATATAAACATACTTATCATATCTTGTTCACATAAGATCATATACTTCATATAATACATCGAAACACCTAGAACACTTTCCCGTAGCTTATAGTCATAAGTCTTATCTCATAACATATACTTGTTTTCACATATATATATATATATTTCATATCATTTCTTATACCATCACATAATTCATTTAACATCCATAACATATTATGTAACATATTAATAGAAATACCTATAAGTCATATCACTTAGAGCACATATATATACTTATAGTCACATTGCTTATATCTTAATCTTATGCCTTCTCTTAGACCTATATATATTCACATGTTCAGGTAATCCACCATTTCATCACATAATTATGTATTCATATAACTCATTTCATTTCATTTCATTTCATATATATATATATATCCTCAAGATTTATCCTAATATAAATCATATAGCACTCTTATAATTCATATTCATATTCATCTCTGTCAGACTTATAAACACATCTCACTTCTATTATTTCTTTATGTATAATCTAATCTGTTTACTTAATTCAATTTCATATAACTCGTATAATATTCTCATATAACTTCACAAATTTCTATCATTCACCTATGTGTTATAGCTTTATTTAAACATATGAATCTTTCCCATCTAGCTTATATTATGTTCATCTTATCATTTATGTTCAAATCTCCTAGTTAGTGTACTATTCTCACTTCATCCTATAGATCAATATTATCCAGCTTATTTCACTTATCATATAATAATATAATTATATTTTACTATGATCACATAGTTTACATCTCATCTAATTCATAACCTTTCTTATGTAATTACTTATACTTTATCATCTAACACATAAAAGAACAGATCGATCCATATAATCAAGCATACATACATGCATATTCAACTCATGTCTTTAATCATGCATTCATGTGTAACACTTCAGGAAATAGACTCATCGCAAGTCTTATTCCCATCGCACATCATATACTATCGAATATGCACTCACCTGGCCTCACTAGTCAATTCCAATCTCTTATCTTTCCCTTGATCGATCTTACTTGCCAAACGTTCCGGAATTGCTTTATGCGTAGAATCTACATAAACGTACATTTCGAGACCATCATTAGATACCTACACCTTGTAATTGGATACTAGCAACTTAAACTAACTAATTAAACCCATATTCCCAATTTTCCTTTAGGGGGAATCGGTTCCCCCCTATGGGGGTATCGGTTCCCCCATGACATACTGGAAATTCTTGTTTGTTTGAAGGGGTATCGGTTCCCCTTGAATGGGTACCGATTCCCCTTGCCCAGAAATCATATTTTGAGCTCGAAAATCCTTCATTTTCAGCTCAACATATCATACTTCATTCCCTTTAATATTCCTAACTTTCATACACATACTTAAACTCATTTCTACTTCATAATCACTTCTTTAAACTCAAAATTCTATCATTTACATGTCATTCAAGAATCAAACTAAATTTCCAACATGTTCTAAAACCCATTCTATCACTTCATATCTCTTAATTTAATCCTTGACAAGTCAAATTCAACTTCACAATCTATTAACTCCTTCCATATCAAAAATTCACTTAAAAACTCATTTTTCTTAATTTCTCATAACTTGTTAATCTTTGAGGTTTAAGCCACCTAAAGCTTTCCTTAATCTTTCTTAATATCCCAAGAATCAAAACAAGCTTTAAAACGAAAGAATTAACCAACTAAAGACTCACTTACCTTATACCAAGCTTCACGGTTGAGAGGAGGAAGAAGACTGAAGAATGCTCTGGACTCTTCTTCCTACGTGCTTATTACCCTTTAAAAAAATTATAAAAAATCTTTCTGATCAAATGACCATAATACCCTTAATTTCCTTTAATAATTACCAAATAACCTTCAATATATATATTCAAATAATCATTGAATTCTTTCATTCTTCTACTTTAGTCACCAAATTCTGAAACTTTACAATTTGGTCACTAACCCGGTAGTGCGGATGTTACAAAATCTATGAAGAAAAAGGTTTCATTTAAAGCTTGTTTGAATGTGATTTTCTTCTGGTTTGGTTTTCAAAGGTGGAGAAGGACATGGATGGAGCAGAGGCGTATTACGGAAGAGCCATCTTAGCGAGTCCTGGAGATGGAGAAGTTTTGTCTCTGTACGGCAAGTTAATATGGGAACGACACAGAGACGAAAGCCGAGCTAAATCCTAGTTTCACCGAGCCATTACTGCATCTCCTGATGACTGGTAAACACCTTCTTCTTCTTATATATATTGTAATTACATCGCAGAAAACTTACAACTGATTTGTGGGTGTAATTTGCAGCGTGGTGTTGGGATCTTACGCACACTTTCTGTGGGACGCCGAGAAAGATGACGATGACGAGGAAGAAGTAAGAGTTTCCAGGGTTATGGCTGCAGCTTGTTAATGCCATGGGTTTTGATTAACAAGATAATAAATCAATGGTTTTGTGTAATGTTAAATTAAATCAACACTAACGAGACAATGAATGTATGTAATTAGTTGGTCTTCAAATGTATGCACAATAAATTAGGTTAATGTGTTATTTGCACCATCTGGGTTTTAAATTCATATAATTTTACATCATATTATGATTAGTCTCTGAATGCTAAGTTCTTTAAAGGTTTGTAAAACCTAGACCTCAAATCTTTCAAAAAGAATTGAAGAGGCCTTCAATCTACTCACCACCCCCGTGAGCAATGGTCATCGACTTGTATAAACAATTCAAATCTAATAAACCTCAAAACAATATGTTTTCAAGGTGTTTACTTTCTCATGAAGTTATTCTGGATTATCCTAATCTTAGGATCTTTTCCTTAGACCTCACACCAATTATGAAGTCAATATGATCATCAATCGTAAATGGGTTTAAGTCGAATTTTGAACTTGCACAAGATAGGACAATATGAACATCTTTGATTACTCGGCCAATTAATAGTGTTCATCCTAAAATTTTATTTGTGTCTATTCTATTCAAAAAATATATTATTTTTTTGTTGTCCTTCCAATTCTAAAGCTTTACCTTGATTAATCCACCGACGCACGTTGCACACCTAATTTTGGTGAATGAGTCTCCCAACAATGATTTTCTGTATACACAAGGTCAAATGATATCAAGCTGCTTACCAATTGAACTAGTAATTGATTAAAGCTGTCTTGAGTAGCATGAGGGTGATGTATGATCCATGTGACATTGTAATCTCAAAGTTTGAATTCAAAGAATAAACAACTACAAGTGATGGTCAAATATTGGAGTTTTAATGTTTAGGTTCAACTATGGATGTGAACAAACAGTATTACTCTAAATCTTTTGATTTTTTTCAGAAGTAAAAACTTTTTGGATAAATTATAAATTTCACCACTTGAATTTATCTTCATTTCTGTTTTAGTTATTGAAATTTAAAAAATTTTAACATTATTCATGTTTTGGTCACCCTATCATTAAATCACAAACAATGTGATGACACAAACCAACAATACGATGACACATCAAAAGAATATCGTTAAAAATGACAACAACATTTCTTTGAATGTGAGTAATTTAAGGACAACATGACTTGGTAACCTTCGAACACATCATTTATAAACCCAAAGCATAGCATGC